GGATTTTCGGATGCTGATTGGGCAGGATGTCCTGATGATCGACGATCAACTAGTGGATTTGCTGTGTTCCTTGGAGTAAATTTGATTTCATGGAGTTCAAGAAAGCAAGCTACAGTGTCCAGGTCAAGTACAGAGGCAGAGTACAAAGCCATTGCAAATCTAACTGCAGAAATGATCTGGATCAAATCATTACTAAAGGAGCTTGGAGTGTATCAATCAAAGGCTCCTCGTCTCTGGTGTGATAATTTAGGAGCTACATACTTGACTTCAAATCCGATGTTTCATGCCAGAACGAAACATATTGAAGTTGACTTCCATTTTGTTCGAGAGCAAGTGGCACGCAAGGCAATGGAAGTTCGATTCATTTCATCAAGTGATCAAGTAGCTGATATTCTGACCAAACCACTGTCTAGATATCCTTTTATTACTCATTGTAACAATCTCAACATATCCAGAACTTGTTGTGATTGAGGGGAGCTGTTAGAATTAGTCAAATAACTGTTATGTAAGTGGAGTAAGATAATGCACCAGTTGGTCCTTAGAAATAGGATCGTGGTGATAATGGAACCATGTTTTTCTATGTAATCAGTTGAATCAATCTCAATATAAATAGAACTGCTCTCTATCGAGAGTTGTGTGGTTGGTATAATCATTTCAAACATAACTTGCATAAAATTTAATAGAAGGGAGAAAATCTTGAGAATATTTGCATAAGGGCCTAGATTTCAAAGTTAGAGAAAACCATGATATAAATTTGCAGTCATGGAGAAATTTATCTGGTTGCAGCTCTCAGGTGGTGATAATCATCCTCTTAGGAAGATGAAGGGCAAACACATCTTGTAATGAGCTCAGCTGATTATAAGATAAAAGGTGGTGATTATATTCCTAAAATATCAGATGTCTTTTGAGTCTTCCTGGGTTTCTTTCACCTCACTCTACCGGGAGTGTCTTAATTAACTGGTTTAGGAATTGGGATTTTGTTGTTGTGTGTGCAGCCGGGGGGGTGTGGAAGGAGGGGAAGAGGGAGTTTGGTTGCTACCTTACTCCATTTCGGTTTTCTTACTTCTTCTGGTTTGACCCTTTTTTGCTTTGTGATAACATAACTTGCATAAAATTTAATACAAGGGAGAAAATCTTGAGAATATTTGCATAAGGGCCTAGATTTCAAAGCAAGAGAAAACCAGGATAAAAACTTGCAGCCATGGAGAAATTTGTCTGGTTGCAGCTCTCAGGTGGTGATAATCATCCTCATAGGAAGACAAAGGGCAATTGTTCTTGTAATGAGCTGAGCTGATTATAAGATAAAAGGAAAAAAGAAAAAAAGAAAGAAAGAAAGTAGTGGATGCCATTTTGAATCTGAAAACTGTCTGGTTTTGCAGTTGATTTCCAGAGAAGTTCTGATAGAGGACCTCCTATATATTCCAGAGGGCTTTTTTTATTCTCAAAGTTTCTAATAAACATAGCAGTATGTGCTTTTAACTTGCATATATGTTTATTTGTGTTGCAGATGACCTTAATTGCAAAGTTAAATAATCCATATATCGTGGAATATAAAGATGCTTGGGTTGACAAGGTACAGGTGTTATATCTTCATTTCTGGTCTGAAACTAGCTTTGCTACATGGTAATAGAGAAAAGCAAATTAGTATTTTACTCGGTTGAACCTGTTTGTATCTCTTTTTGTTTTGTAGGGGAACTATGTCTGTATTGTAACTGGCTATTGTGAAGGAGGGGACATGTAAGTGACCTCAATCTGCATCTAATTATTATAAATTGGATTTGGCTGGATTGTCGAAAATACTCTTTTTCCGTTAACTAAAGAAGTTACATGCATAAAAAAAATTTCATAATGGATTTTTACCTTTTTTACATTCAAAACTTTCTTCTCTCTTCATCTGGGTGAAGGAATTTTCCTGAACTAATAAGATCTCTGAACCACATAATTTCATTCCCAAGTACTCAGAGCTGTTTTAAAAATGCATATGATATGTCAGTTTTGCATGGATAACAAAAAAAATTCAAACAAAATTCAAAAATTCTCATCTATGCATTAGTAAATGCAAGAAAAGGAGCATACTGGACTCTAACAACCTGAATAAATTTAGTAACACAAAATTTTTTTCCCGAAATCAGGGCTGATATTATTAAGAAGGCGAAAGGAGTCTTTTTCCTGGAAGAGGTAATTATCAAATATTTCATGCTGTTGAGTTTTTTACTTTCAACTATGTAAGGCTGTTCATGCTGTTCATCTACCTCCATTGTTCTGCTTTATTTCGTAGAAAATCTGCAAATGGCTAACTCAGTTGTTGCTAGCTGTGGACTACTTGCATTCTAACCGTGTTCTCCACAGAGACCTTAAGGTAGTACCTGACACTAATCCTTGTAATGCAGAAAGGGATAATGAATGGCATAAAGTTTTGATTAAACCTTATTTAATTGCAGTGCTCAAACATATTCCTCACGAAGGAAAGTGATATCCGGCTTGGTATGAAGGCAAAAGGATTGCTATAAACAATGTTCTTTATTCAGTATCCAGTTTGGGTTCCTGTTTATGAGGTCTTCTAAGATGTATATATTTTCTATGGATTGTACAGGTGACTTCGGTCTTGCAAAACTACTCAACACTGAAGACCTTGCTTCCTCGGTATGGAATCTGTAGATACCATTTCTTTTTTTGTTCAATCAAAAAATTTTCTAAATTCAAATGGTATTCCTATCCCTTTCGTGTCCTTGATAGGTTGTTGGGACTCCGAATTACATGTGTCCTGAGCTCCTCGCAGATATACCATATGGCTATAAATCAGATATATGGTCCCTTGGTAGGATGCACATGATGCTCTCTACTAAACTACTGATTTGTCTCCTAATTTAATTTGATTCTACTCTTGTTCCAGGATGCTGCATGTTTGAGATTGCAGCACATCAACCGGCATTCAGAGCTCCAGTAAGTCTAAGCTTGAGCAATTTAATATCTGTTGTTAATCTCAGTCATGTTTACAGTAAAACTGAGTTATTATGCACTTGGCAGGATATGGCTGGACTAATCAACAAAATAAACAGATCAATCATTTCACCACTCCCAATTGTGTATTCCCCCACATTGTACGTATCTTTTTCTCTGATATTAGAACAAAAGCAGTCACCAACGTAAATTAATGTTCACATGTATAGTTTGCTTTTATATCTAAATGTAATTGTATACATTCTGGTGGGTTTACTTCCATATTTACAGGAAACAGATTATCAAAAGCATGCTAAGGAAGAATCCTGAACACAGACCAACAGTGAGTTTCAATGACCTCATTCCCGTATCTTATTTTCATACATTGACACTGTTACAGGTAACTTTTGGTGCACTATGTAACTGCAGGCTTCAGAACTGTTAAGGCATCCACATTTGCAACCATTTCTTCTCCGATGTCGGAACTTTTCTTCTGTGTATCTTCCAATAAAGCCCACAAACAGCCCGAGGGAAAAAACTGGAAGAAAATCGTTCTCTAACAAACCTAGTGGTGGCAAAGACAAGGGAAGCAGAGATTATTCTGCCAAATCACTGCAGTTTGGAAATGCAGATCAATTTCAGCAAAATGCAGATGAGCGTCCAAGTAGCTCATCTCATAGTGACAAACAAACTTCTACATCAAGCATAGAAGACAATCTTGAGACAAAAAGGGTTGATCCAACTAGCTGTAGCTCAGAAATAGCCGATATTACTGATAATCCAAAGGAAACATCTGCTGATCTGGAAACTGGAATTTGCAATTCAGAAAAGCAAGCTGGTCTCAGCAGCATACCCCAGGAGGATGGTGCTTGCATCCAGTCTACCTCAGAGACTGAAACTAATTCTCGGCATGAAGAACAAAAGAAACCGTCAGCTAAGGATCTTCAAGAAATCCGAGAGGTTGATGACAAGGCCATATCTGCTAAAGAAGAAGAAACATTCAGTTGCCAACAAGTCAATGAAGGAGCCGAAACAGAAAGTGAGTATGCTTCACCAGAGAATTCCAGGAAATTATCAATATCCAGTGTGGACCATACCACAAATCATGGGTTGATTGATGATGATAAGAGTACATCATCAACCATATTTGAACCTGACATGGAGCCCAGGTCCTGCTCAGATAAAATACAGAAACCGGTAACATGTACCGAAGGTGCTCATATAGACAGCTTTTCATCCGAAAGTAATGTTATTCTTGCATCTGGAACTGAAGTAGGATCAGGAGCAGATCAAAATAGTTGCCCTGTGGAAAAAGAGAAAGATGACGGCAATGCAATTACTCTAACGTCAAGCCAAATATCGTTGTTGAGTACACTTTCCGCAATGGTTGGTGATGAAAACAAGACAGACTGGGAAAACCCGAGTCAGCAAAGAGCCGACGCTTTAGAGTCGTTGCTGGAGCTATGTGCAAGGCTACTTAAACAGGACAAATTTGAAGAGCTGGCCGGTGTGCTGAGGCCATTTGGAGAGGAAGTTGTATCATCCAGGGAAACTGCAATTTGGTTGACAAAGAGCCTGATATCTGCACACAAGTTCAATGGAGAAACCTAGTTGATTGCCATTAATTTATTAATTATATTGTGAAATAATGTGTTTTTGCTTTTAGATTTCTTTACCCCCAAAAAAAAAAAAAAGAACAAGCTTGTTGATTAAATTTCTGAGTGACTTGATTGAGGATTAGAGGCTTTATAAACAGGGGTATCCTGCAGGTTGCTTCACTCACCATGTTCATCCATCCATGGAAATAAACTTTTACCTTCCTCAGATCTTTTTACCTTTTTACTCCTGAATTACTGAATTATGTCATGCATAATTAAATTCTAGATTAACAAGTAAACAAACACTAAAATTATTTAAGAAATGCAACAAAATTTAAGAATTAACCCACATGAGATTAATTTTTATTCAATACTGTGTGTATATCACAAAGATAAACAAGAGAAAAAATACAACAGAGGCCATGAATATGAGAATTTCTAACCTCCCCAAGTTCTCTCTTTCACTCCTTTTCAATTTGTACATTTAAAAAAATCAGCCCATTGAATCCTCCACGGAAAAAAATAATTTCTCTTCTTTGTAGAACACACTTATTCATAATTTTTTTTTTTTAAAAAATTTATTAATCTTTCTTCATTTCATCGACCAAGTCAACCCCACAGTCGTTGACCCACTAATTACTGCAGGTAGGCGAAGAAAGAAACGAGGAGAGCTCCAACCAAGGATCCAACGACGGGCATGGCTGTTGCAGAGCTTTCGCTGGGGCTCGGGGCCGGTGCATCGGTGCTGGCCAAGACAGCGCTGGCGGCGGCAGCGGCGAACACGACGGCGAAGGCAACCTTCTTCATTTCCATGATGAAGATATGCTGAGACCTGGAAGAAGGGTTTTTCTTCTTCTTTTCTTTTTTGGGGTTGAGTTTCTTTTTCTGTACTTGTTTTTTTTCTGGTTTCTTGCAGGTCTGAGGAAGATTGGTGATTGGGGTAGGGATTTATAGGGAAGAAGATGAAGTGAGGAAGACTATTTTTTAGGCTTTGTTACTCAGTTTTCCATCGTTTCAGAAATTTCCATGCAAATTTGGCGCCTACTTGTAAGGCTGGCCATGCAAATTTTTTGACGTTTTCTTAATTATTTTTCGGATTAATTAAAAGAAAAAGACTAATTCAACGAAAAATTT